TACTGAAGTTTAAATTGAAATAACAATCTAGACCATCATATTTGTACTGAAGCTTAAAATAAAAAAACAATCCAGACCATCATATTTGTACTGAAGCTTAAAGTGAAAAAACAATCCAGACCATCATATTTGTACTGAAGCTTAAAGTGAAAAAACAATCCAGACCATCATATTTTTACTGAAGCTTAATGTGAAAAAACAATCCAGACCATCATATTTGTACTGAAGCTTAATGTGAAAAACAATCCAGACCACCATATTTGTACTGACGCTTAATGTGAAAAAACAATCCAGACCATCATATTTGTACTGAAGCTTAAAGTGAAAAAACAATCCAGACCATCATATTTGTACTGATGCTTAAAGTGAAAAAACAATCCAGACCATCATATTTGTACTGAAGCTTAAAGTGAAAAAACAATCCAGACCATCATATTTGTACTTAAGCTTAAAGTGAAAAAACAATCCAGACCATCATATTTGTACTGAAGCTTAAAGTGAAAAAACAATCCAGACCATCATATTTGTACTGAAGCTTAATGTGAATAAACAATCCAGACCATCATATTTGTACTGAAGCTTAATGTGAAAAAACAATCCAGACCATCATATTTGTACTGAAGTTTCACGTGAAATAACAATCCAGACTATCATATTTGTACTGAAGCTTAATGTGAAAAAACAATCCAGACCATCATATTTGTACTGAAACTTAAAGTGAAAAATCAATCCAGACCATCATATTTGTACTAAAGCTTAATGTGGAAAAACAATCCAGACCATCATATTTGTACTGAAGCTTTATGTGAAAAAACAATCCAGACCATCATATTTGTACTAAAGCTTAATGTGAAAAAACAATCCAGACCATCATATTTGTACTGAAACTAAAGTGAAAAATCAATCCAGACCATCATATTTGTACTAAAGCTTAATGTGGAAAAACAATCCAGACCATCATATTTGTACTGAAGCTTTATGTGAAAAAACAATCCAGACCATCATATTTGTACTAAAGCTTAATGTGAAAAAACAATCCAGACCATCATATTTGTACTGAAACTTAAAGTGAAAAAAACAATAATTGTGAGGGTCCGGAGGTGGGTCGTGGCTGAGTTTCTTTCATACATCTCTCCGATGGAGCATCCCTCCCCCTTTCTCTCACCCCCCCCCCCCCCCCCTGATCACGTGTAAGAAATACATATTTTCCAATCCTCCCCACTCTCCCAGAAGAAAAATGTTTAATGTAACCCTGGGTTCTTAGCCTCACCTTTACCACACTAGTTAACTTACCCAAGAGTAACCCATAACATTGAGGAGTAACCCTAAGCGTACGCTTAACCTTCAACTCTAAACCATGGGAGATAGTGTAAACCGACTTAATAAAATAGTGATATTGGACCATCAATAAAAAAAATCTAATTACACAATACATTTTAAATACAATTTAGCCTGTCAACTCTTTCTATTTTTTAATTTACAATCACAATTTTTAAACAAAGTTGCGCAGAGACAAAAAGTTTCAGTGTTGGAGATTATGATTCTCCATAACGTAAATTAAAAAACAAACATATCTAAATATAACCTAGCGTCATGCTGTCCTAAGTAGTCACGTGATTAATGTTGGTATACAACTTCTCAGTAAACCTGTAAAAACCACAACGATAAATATGTTTTCTTTGTTCAGCACGAACATAAACGTGTATTTCTATTAAACATCAAAGTTACATATAAATTATTCAACAAGGCTGTCACTATTGTCACCCGCACAAGAAGGGACGACACCGGTTGAGCTGTACCCACGTCAGTCAAGTTTTCTACAGCTAGCCATTTCTTTGGGAATTTCCCGTTTAGCCTGCCCAAATTCCTGACTCCCGTCTAACAAGTGAATACACAATGACACCATCTGCCACCCCCCCCTCCAATAATTGGTTGTTGATCTTTAGCATTCACTCAAGCGTTATTAAAAAAAAAAAAAAAAAACTGTATTCGCAACGGAATTCGTCTTACGGTGTACTAGGTGTAAAGTACCACAAAATATTCATCCCATCATTTTAATCAAGCAGGACTCAGAACTAAAAATTTTACTAACACATTCGCACTATCACTATGATGTTTTTATGTTTTAATGTTTAACGCTAAAATGTAAATATTATAATTAAAATATTTCAAATTTACGTGCCGATCTTAATGATCACTTTATTAACATATAACAAGGTTCAATGACCTTTATAATTATTGTAAGTAGTATCCGGGACTCTGTGGAGTGGTATACTAAAATATAATTATAAATGACTAATTGTATTCAACACAGGCAATTTAAACTATAGGCCTAATTTTACTACATTATCTCGGATATTTCAAAGGACGGAGTGGCTTAGCGGTAGAGAGCTTGACTGCTAACCCTTAAGTTCGAATCCGGGTTCAAGTCAGTAGTCCGTCCCTGAGTCCACCCAGCTCTAATGGGAACCTAACTCATGTTAGGGTAACTAAAGGCGGCTGGGCATCACACTATCCATTCTTATGCCGAGGTCATAGAATCAAGTGAGCTCTACTTTACTTGCCCCGTAGACCGTCAGGTTTGAAAGGGAACTTTACTTTTACCAAACCTCGAATATTTCAGACATTTCTATTCGTACTAAACAGAAAATAAGGCATCCTAGGATTAACTCATACTAGGATTAACTCCTAGTCCTAGCCTTCCAACCTGTATCTTATGTAACTTAATGACGCATGTAATCTTACACATGTACATTAATGTAGTGCCATACAAAACAGGGCAAGAGATATGGAGGTACACGTATTGCAGTTACACAGCAGTTATAATAATATACATCTAGTTACGTGTGGTTTATTAAAGCTGGTATAAGCGGTATAGTAATGATATGTTCAGTTTCAGATAAATAAATGAAGGATAGCACCTTTATGTTGAGGATTAGGTTGGGATAATATGGTATGGAGGCGAATTTCGGGAGTTTTTGGATTGTAAGTTGGGGGTGGGGGGGGGGGGGGGGGGGGTGTGGGAGTAGGTTGTTACGTTATGAAGTGATTGTGAGTTTACGCAAAGATTAATAGAGAAAAATACTGCCTGTGTTTCTTCCAGACTTTTTTCTCCGAGGGGGCACTTGAAATTTTTGAGGGGACGGACTAAAATTTCCGGGGGGGGGGGGGGGGGAGTGGTGCGGTGTTGGGGTGGGGGGTAGGTTGTTACGTTATGGAGTAATTATGAGTTTACGCAAAGTTTAATAGAGAAAAATACTGCCTGTGTTTCTTCCAGAAAATTTTGAGGGGACGGACAAAAATTTCCGGGGGGGGGGGGGGTTGAACACAGAGCCCCCCCCCCCCTACACACACATCCTGGAAGAAACTTTGATTACTGTGCGTTAAAACTTTTTATTTCTGTCCCTTATAGTAATAAAGTTGTTACCGACCCATGCACGATGTGATTCTCCGTGTATTAGATGTGTTTCTTATACCATACTACGATCCCCCAAATTGTGCTTTCCATTCTTGAATTATTGGTCTGGCAGTACTTCTTCTTTTTTTATCTTAATTGTAAAGTTGGACGAGATTTCCTCTAGCACAATTAAAGACTACGTGTCAACATGTTATGTTTTTTCTCTCTTAGATGGGTTTCTGTCGGGGATTCGAACTAGGGACTTTTCGGTTGAGCGGGGCCCGACAACACCGAACCCGCCTGGCCATACCATCCATATTATTGTGGCCGTACAATCTTTTTTTAATGGCCACGCAATCATGATAACTTTGGCCATATAAGCATGATTATTCTGAGTTATGTCCATATAATACTTATGTCCATATAATACTTAAGGAAACTACTACCAATACATCTTTACATGATTTCTTAATGATGTTCTGTACTAAATAAACTCGACTACACGGTGGTGACTCATACCCCAGCCCGTTACTAGCGGATGGTCAAGTGAACGAAAGGCCACTGTAGAAATAATACATACTTAGTAGGGTTGCCAGATACCTTTTCCGAAAATACTGGACACCTTTCCATCCTTCCCTTCTCAGGTATGCCGCTAAGCAGAAGAAGGGGGGGGGGGGGTAACAGAGTATTATTCATATACTTGTCCAGTATTTATATTTATTTTATCCTGGACAGTTTGCTCAAATACTGGACTGTCCAGTTCAAAACTGGACACCTGGCAACCCTAATACCTAGGCAGCTAAATAATATTCAGGACACGTTGTAGACAGTGTTTCTTTCAGGCATATCTTGCGCATCCCCCCCCCCCCCCCAAAGAAATAGAATATATATAGAAAAATTATATACTTTTACCAGAATCCGCCCCCCCCCCCATTCCCCCGAGAAATTTAGTCCGTCCCCTCCCCAAAATTTCCAAGTGCACCCCCCCCCCCAGGAGAAAAAATTCTGAAAGAAACACTGGTGTCACAGAAAGGTAGACCCCAAACCCCCAAATACTACACATACCCCCGCCACACAGTAATACTTAAGTTTATCAACCTCAGGCTAGACGGTGTGTGTGTGTGTGTGTGTGTTATGTGGGTTGGTGTCAGGAGGATGTATCTTCTAATTATACTTCTTACACTAATTAATTACCGTCAACTTATAAGCCAGTGCAAGGACGTTAAAGCAATATTTATTCAACACTTTAACCCTACGCCAACATTGAATCGTTCCCACACCACAACCCCCCCCCCCCCCTCCCCACCACTCCACCCCTCCGCCAACCACTTTCCCTATTACACAAACAATTGCTCGCACTATTGAGGCCAACTACTTGTTGACACTAGGTACGTGCCAGACTCAAGTTAATTACACCAAGCAATGTGTACAGTACACAGTGTACCAACCAATGGGGACTGTCGTAGCCCAACGATGCTGGTTATCACCCCCAGCGAATGTCGGTCAAGGCCAGGTGACGTCACAACTGAAAAGAAAACACAGCGACCCTCCAGCCGCCCCACCCCACCCCCATGCGCTTAGATCTTGCCTCGGCGTCCAAAAATAAAGCGCCATTACAAAAGCCTACCTAAAACAACACACTTAAAACCACCAGATAGTCAAAGCTATCCAGACGTTTGGGTTATAAATAAAAACCGGAATGTTTTTATTTTAAAGTTTTGAAATAGCACAACCAACAGATCAGCTGATCGCTAGAGGGAATGCCCGATTCTTTGAAGTTTTTAAAGCCACCACTCGGAAATTTCCCCGCATTCGAGACTGAGGAATAGACTAAGCTTCGAGGATAGCTCTAGCTTGTGAACGTTTAGCCATTAGTTATCTGAGTACCCAAGCATAGCTGTTGATTTCTTATAAAGAGGTAAGTTCTTTATGTATGGCTTACATTTGTATAGCTTACATTTATATTACATTACGTCATGTATGGCTGACTTAGACCCAGTTTGAATAATAGAAATGGATAAGATCTAGATCTTCAGGAAAAAAAGATATCGTCACGACTTTTTTTGTGTAGCCAAATTAAAAAAAAACACAACTTTAAGTTGTACAACTATTTACAACGTTTATAGATACGGCTAGATATGTACTTAGACTTAGACCTTCAGTTTATGTCCTCTTCTGTGAATTATAGTGTGGTGTGCTGACTCGTAGGGTGTGTAGTGTGTTGCGGAGACGACGAGTTCTGAAGTTAATACAGTGCGTTCATAGCATGATCATAAACAAACAAATAACCATAAACTTACCGGTCATTCCATATTTTGAAAAATAAGCTAAACATCAAGTTAACTATCAACAAATCATTTAGCCATTAACAAACCATTCAGCCATAAACTTAAACAAACCATTTAGCTATTAACAAACCTTTTTACATAAACAAACCATGCAGCCATAAACAAACCATTTATTTATAAACAAACTATTTAGCCATAAACAGACTATTTAGCTATAAACAAACATATTTAGCCATAAACAGACGTACCAATTAGCCATACACATTCCAATTAGCTATAAACATACGAAGTAGACATAAGTAGGCTAATTTAATTAACCACAAACAAACCGATGAGTCAAAAACAGACAAGTATGACTTTGGTCAAACAGCAATACATTGATTAGCAAACCATTAGCGAGACTGTTTCCATGCTTAAATCAATTAGCCCAGAACTGATCGATCAGTGATAAACAGCCATGTAGAACACAGATCAAGCGTTGAGACACCTTCGCCAACAAATCAAACTTTGATACGTGTGATCAGTTTTTAATCTTTGTATTAGATCACACGCCTAGCACAACATTCACCTCATTGCTGTGGTTTGGTGCAGTGTTGTCTCTAAGCGGTGTAGTGTCGCCTCTAAGTGGAGTAGTGTAATGTAGCTATTAAGTACGCCATTCCAGCCAAATCAACTGTACATAATTTTATGATCTGCCAATTTCCATTCGCAAGTCTCTGCGTTTATACATTTGACGCAGTCGTGTTACATATTCATAAGGTTTTTACCATACTATAGTGTACACAGACGACATACTAGTGTGTGCATAATTTGGGTTTCTAGTTTGTACACATAAGCCTCTCGTCACCTTTGACATACCATGTACATATACATGACAGCATTATATATAGAGTACCAGTGTGTACACATACACTCTCATAGTTTAGATGCACTCTGCTGTATAATATATAAGTAAGCCTATCCTTGTATCAAGAATAGCAAGCCCATCAGTAAACATATTCTAGCATCATTCAAGCATTAAGTAGGTTTATGCTTTTATCATAAATGGGCTTATTGTTATCTAAACATCTCGTCATTTGGACGGAGCTAATGTGTACAATACCCTACAATACAACACACTAATGTGTACGTGTAGCCTACAAAAGAACACACTAATGTTTACGTGTAGCCTACAATACAACACACTAATGTGTAGATGTTCGTTAGTTTCTCCTGACATGTTAGTAACCGTGTAGGACTGTCCTAGCATAGCATGTCACAACCAAATTGATACAGTGTGCTCGACCCGTGTCACAACACAATTAACACAGTGTGTGCGACACGCACCCACTTCACCCCAGCCCTCACTGTGTATTTGTGTCGTGTAGCTTCGTCTGTGTCGCGCCACACATTCCACGCGTAATGACTGCACTTAAGGCTTGCACTCATGATGTAAACACAGCTCCTCCCCCTCCTCTTCCGTATCCGAGCGAATTGTTTTTATTTTGTCAGCAACACAGTAGGCCTAAAGGCTTGTGATGACTTGAACTACCTACCTAGTGCTCTCTCGAGCCTAATGTAGCTCTTTGTTGTTAAAAAAACATAGACGGCTTTTGCTTTAGTGTTGCAACATAACTGTTTTTTTATGAATACAGAGGCTTTTAATATTTAAACCTGGCTATGTGACTGCTTCTTATATTGGGTATTGATATCAAATATAGTGAACAAAGGAATACAGCAAACATACTAGTTGTAATATTGTATCATAACTGAAGTATAAAAGTCCCGTTTTTTTTTTTTTTTTGGTTTTTTTTTTTTTGGTTTACTAAATATTTAGCTAAGCTTACTTTGAAATAGATCCCTTATAATCGGTCAACTATAACTAGTCTATAACAAAGATAGATACGACTTGTAAACGATACTGAACTAAGTTTAGGGGTTGAGGTATTGTTATTGTTTATAGACCCACTAAGTTGATCTAAACGAACTTGTAGGTACAGCTTTAACATGAGCAGAACTTGATAACGATACTAAATTTAGGGACTGGGATTTTGTTACTGTCAAAACTAAATTTAGCTGTACGAACAAGTAGGTGTACAGTTATAACACCGACTGATACAATATGATACCGATACAACTAATTTTAGGTGTTGTATTTTGTTGTTGTCAAAACCTGGTTTACCCGGACGAGAATGTAGGTATACAACTCCCCGTGGCCTCTACACAAAACAGCTGGTATTGGCCGGTTTTGGTTTGCGCTATAGATAGTAACACACAGTTAAACATAGGCCTAACCTTTTTTCCAAGTACCGGGACAGGAGCAACACGCTTGAATAGGCCGAGCTAAATAATGGGGTTTGTACCCCGCCCCCAAAGTCATAACCCCCTGCATGAACCCAATATGTTGAAATAGCAGGCACACGTTGACCCCATCCTTACACACACACACACACTGTCACTAGTTTACTTGTACTCATGCTAGGTATCCACCTGGGCTGGGTGAACTCAGGAATGTCCCTTAGCTTCGATCCTGGTAATTTGGTAGCTGACGACAGCGTTTGGCATTCATTCGCTCCACCACAAAGACACACCACTCAGACGACTTTCACTTTCTAAATTACCATATAGATATATGTATATATATATATATATATATATATATATATATATATATATATATATATATATATATATATGTATATATATATATATATATATATATATATATATATATATATATATATATATATATATATATATATATATGTATATATATGTATATATAATGATTGCCAAAACTTCCAATAAATTGATTTGCATAATCATTGCTATTTTTATTATTTTCAGATAAACAAGCAACAATCGAAAACCCCCGAAAAAGTACTGTTTTCATAGTGATGTAAACATAGCACCCGAGTATTACAACACTCGGAACAAATAGTTCCTGACACCCAGCTGACTTCTCTGTCCATCTCTGGCATCATGCCCGACTACCTGTACATCCCGCTGACCGTCCTTGCCCTTGTGGTCGGCCTGGCAGCCCTGGTGGCTACCATGTTCTGGGTTCACAAGAAACGCAAAGACTTCCTGGCACAGCGGGAGCAAAAATCTGCAAACACTCGCAGAATACAAAACCTGCTGTTGGGGAACAACTTGGGGAGCCGCATCTACAAAGGCCCGGACAAGATGAAAGTGGCCCTCGTATCGAAGATCGATCACTCTCCCGTCATGATCGATCTCAATACTATCGACGTCTAAGACGACAAGGTGTAGTGAATAAACTTTTGTACTGTCCAAACTGGTATAAATACTTCAGACTTCTCTATGCCAGGATTTTTCACGTCATACAAACTTAAAATCAGTATTCATGGTGGATCGGGTTGTCTACTTAAGACATTTAATGAAGCTTACGTTGCAGTTGCAGATTTTTGGTCTATAAATAGATGTCTCTTTGTGTCGGTCGGATTGGTTTTAACATAGTCGGCTATCGACAGCATTCAATGTGTTGGTCTATAATAACATTCCACGCTACAATTGTAAGATATATTGGTGACTGGTTTGTAGTGGATTAGAGCGATTAGTGAACGCAATTGTAAGAGATCTGCTGACACTGGTTTGTTGTGGATTAGAGGGATTAGTATTCGCGATTGTAAGATACATTGTTGATTGGTTTGTTCTGGATTAGAGGGATTAGTGAAGACAAGAGTGAAATGTGTGAAACGGGAGAAGCGGGGTAGTGAAGTGAGCAGGCATTTAATGAGAGTGAGTAAAAGAATGAGACCATAAACGGTCAACGTAAACTGGAAACAAAATTTTCTTGTAAATATGTGTTTTATAATTTAAAATTTTAAATATTTGTTGCATGATGTTTTAACACTAGCCAAGGTTTGTGTAAAACATCGCAAAAGTTGGGTTTTAAAAATTAGGTCAGACGAGTCAATATATGTAAAAAAAACGAAACACTATAATTTCTTATAGAAATAATGTTATTTTAGATCCATAATACAACATAATTTTTAATTATAACTTTTAAATTGCATTTTAGTTGTTTTATGTATTTTTATTTTGATATTTTAATCACGTAATGAAAAGTTGTGTAAATATGGAGAATTATCTGACAACATAGTTGACGAAAAGTGCCTAGCTTTTAAACTTTGTAAAGATTTTAGTTTTGACTCTTGATCTATCTCATGATTTACCTGAGTATGTCTGGCACCTACACATCCTAACTGGACATATAGATACAGGTAGATGGTCTATGTACTGACTACCTTCCGTGGTCTTTCTTGCTGTGGTTCGGATCCAAGTCCGGTTGAACCGTGTAAAAAGGTATTGTAATATAAGTATTGTAATATAATTTTAAAATGTTTGGTTCAAGCGCGTAGCAGGCATTCAAGTTTTGTTGATGTGAGTTTACATGGTATGAGGAGTGGAGCTGTTGTGTACATAACGACTAGATATGTGAGAGGAGAGAGAGAGAGATAGAGAGAGAGCGAGAGAGAGAGAGAGAAGAGTGAGGTTGGAAAGGAAAACTAATAGTGAGTAAAAAGATGAACTATGTGGAAAGAGGAGAAAGAGAGATTGAAAAGATTGCATAAGAAAAGAGACAAAGCGAGAGAGAATGAGAGAAGCATATGCAAGATGGAGAAGAGTAGGGGGTGGGGAAGGTAGGGAGAGAGGCTGAGAGGATGGTTGTGGAGATGAAGGATTAAGTAAAAGAGGAAAACAATTGTGTTCATATAAGCGCATTCCAAAATTCTGTACATTTTTCAAACCCATGTGTTTTGTACATTTTTTCTACTCATAATGTTTTGTACGTTTTGGTACTTTTGCAAATCAAAATAAAACTTTTTTTTCCACAAAGATGTATTGACTTGTATATTGAGTTATCAAAAACCTGTTCTTATTAGTTGATCAAGGCAAGCCGCACGTGAGTAGTATATTAGGTCACTTTTGGTTATCATTTTTGGCGGAGGAGTCAAGGCGCAGGCGCAAAGGTTATATAGTAAAATACTCGGGAGGAGCAGGCGCGGGATGGACAATGACATATAGCAAAATACTCCCAGCCTGGCGCATCGGGATGGGGAGGAGCGAAGGGTGAAGGCGCAAAGACATATAGTAAAATATTAAGCCAACTGGCGTTGGCGGAGGAGTGAAGGGTGAGTCACCTTTTGGTGACCTTGTGACGTAATCATTGACCTTGTGACGTAATTAGTGACTTTGTGACGTAATCACTGACCTAGTTACGTAATTTTAATGCGTTTTTTAACTAGATTTAATGAGTTTTTAAAATTTTAATTAATTTTTGACCTAGTTGCGTAATTTTAATGCGTTTTTTAATGAGTTTTAATGAGTTTTTAAATTTTTAATTAATTTTTATTATCGAGTTACGTAATTTAATTACTTTGATTGTATTTTTATTTTGTTTAATTTGTTTGTTTACTTGTTGTTTAATTTAATTACTTTGTTTATATTGTGTAATTTTTATTAACGAGTTACGTAATTTGATTATTTGTTTACTTTTTAATTATTTTTATTTTGTTTATTTTTAATTTAATTTTATTTTATAACTAGTTAAATTATTATTAACTAGTTACGTAATTTGATTTTAATTACTTTTGTTTATTTATTTATTTGATATATTTCTTTTCTTTGATGTATGGTATTTAAAATAAAAGACACTGTTTAAATTTTTGACCTAGTTACGTAATTTTAATGTGTTTTTATTACGTAATTGTTTAATTTGTTTACTTTTTAAATTATTTTTATTTTGTTTATATTTCTTTTCTTTGTTGTTTAATTTGTTGGTTTGTTTATTTGGTTGTATGTATGTTTTAAATTCTCCCCTACAACGCGAACGTATACTTTGTATACCAGCCTTTAACCAGCCGTGCAACATGTGGTACATATCGATCCGCAATCCTTTGTTTTTGTCAAACACTGGACAACGGGCGCGTTAATATTGATTCCACCCACGGGCCATCACAGCATGATGTCCCGCCTAATTAAATTTTGTTACGCATCGTGGGTTTATGTGTTGTTCACGGAAGCGAACACCGTAGGGTCCGGTGTTTAATGAGGTCCATTAACCGCGTCTCCGCGTTAAGTGTGGTAACAGCTGTACCACTTTAATTGATTTTTCCCCGCTCGGTTACTAGAGTGGGAAGCCCCTAGGTAACAGCTGGTGCTGTAATTAGTCACGGCTCTCGGCTTTTTTCATTAGATTACAGCTGTCCATGAACTATGTTCACATATCGTACGCCCGGTCATTCTTTGATCAAATTAAAATTTTTTGTTTCCACATGTCCTACGAACCGTCCCTTGCTATGTATGAAAGATTAATGGTTGTAACTATTCGCTTATAGCGAGGGTCAACGAAAACAAAATATATTTAAGGGTCGGAATTTTCTTTCAACCACCGTTAAATCAGGTTTTGAGACGAAACAAAGTCTCGGTAGGTTCGTGTTTTTTAATTGGCGACAGGGCGACTTGGTGCGTTGGTACGTGAGGTATGCGGGGTAGACATGTTTTTTACAAGTCTGGAAAAGTAATTACGTTTTTGTATGACCGTTCCGATTTTTTTTGATCTGACCACCATTTGACCACACTGTGCCAGATAAATTTAACAAATGTTCAATACATAGTCGCTTATAGTAACATGGGTGACGGTGTGAACAGGTGGGTGAAGGGGGAAATATTAACAAATGTTCAATACATAGTCGCTTATAGTAACATGGGTGAGGGGTGTACGCAGGCGGGTGGTGGTAAGGTGGTGGTAAGGTGGTAGTGGTAAGGTGGTGGTAAGGTGGTGGTAAGGTGGTGGTAAGGTGGTGGTAAGGTGGTGGTGGAAAGGTGGTGGTAAGGTGGTGGTAAGGTGGTGGTAAGGTGGTGGTAAGGTGGTGGTGGTAAGGTGGTGGTAAGGTGGTGGTAAGGTGGTGGTAAGGTGGTGGTAAGGTGGTGGTAAGGTGGTGCTAAATTTGCTTGGAGTAAAGGATATATAGTAAAAGATTCCACCACCTAAGTGAGGTGGATTTTAATTTTAATTTTTTTATTTTATTTTTTTCATCATCTGTTACCTTTAAGGTTCTATAACTCTATATATTTTAATACGTTTTTTGATTCAAATGAGTTTACTTTTCCTAATGTAAGTACAGGTAAAGAGGGATTTCCTATAGATCTGTAATGAAGTAGGCCTTCTTGACTATGACTGATTGTCCAGGTGTTGACATGATACACTTTTTTTGAGATACATGTACACACACACACACACACACACACACACACACACACACACGCGCGCGCGCGAAATTCATACTAGGTCGGTAAAGGCGGAGAGAACTTATAGGTATACATTATCATGGCGACAACAAAAGCGACCCTTATTTTATTTACATGAAAGCGTGTTTTCCAAAAAGTGTCACCAGGCCGTTGTCATTTTCGCAGCAGGGTTTATATTTTAAGTGCACCCCGTGCACGCTTGTTTACATTTTAAAAGTTGTGTCACGTGTCGTCCCCACATGTCTTCCCTAATAGAGAAACGAGAGGAAAGACAACTGTTCTAAAATTAGAACAGACTTGTTTACAACCACGAGTATCGTCCCTTGTGAAAAAAGTTGCGCGTCAGAATCCTTAACTAAACAGTCAATTTCTTTAACAAGTTAAAAATTATTTAGGAAGACAAAGGTTAACAACATTAGACGCCACCATTTTTGTTTCATGTGAGGACAAGGCACAATACACTTTTGTAGTTTATGTCTCAAGTAGAGGGGTGGGATATTTTTTTTTTCTTTGTAAGAGTCTTGTAAACAATGGGTAGAGGAGACGATTACTAAGTAAGAGGGGAGAGAACGTGACTTGCATCGCGATATTTGAAAACATGGCGATGTTTAACCTCAAGCAGATTACCTTCCCATGTTCGCTTTAGTATTACAGTTTTCATCAAACTTCTTTTTGACTTGAACTTCTTTAATTTTTAAGAAAGTTTACTTATACATAAGACATTACGTCTAATTACAATTTTTTATTTTTACTACTCAATGTATTTTCTTTTTCTATATCTTACATTGTCATCTTAATTTTTGATCACCTTAGTAAAAATTTGCTTAAGATTATAAACTTCAAGTTTTAAAAAACAACAACGTTATAGTACGTCGTGTCAAATGACACACCGTTTAAAATGTCTACATTTAAAGTTCACCAAAATAATGACGTAAAAACTAAATATGATATGACGTTAGCATACATATCATACAATCTAATCACTCTAAAGTACAAATCAATAATTTTTATTGATTAAGGGGCTGGGTGAGTTATTTTTATCACTATTCGCCTTTCCCCTTCCCTTTGTCCGCAACCCCTTTCTCCTTCTCCCATCCCTAACCTCAATACCAACCGATAGATACACAGACCGTAACACTACCCATTCTATTCCATTTAAGAGACAAATGATGTATGACAATCTTACATTTATCTACACTCAACTAATATCACAACCCCTAGACACTACTCCAACAGACTGGTCTATGTAACTTGTAGACACTACTCCTCGTTGAATATCTCTTGCACCCTAGCCACCTATGTCTGCCGCCCTCGCCCCCGTCCCTAAACACCCGCTAGATAAACAGACCGTACCTCTACCCACACTATTACTTGGACAGACAAAGTAACAGACAAACTTGTATCTGTATTCAACTAATGTTACAAGTGACAACGTTCCCATCCAACTCTGAAACATCCATGGCCCAATTTCGAAACCAGCCTCGTTGAAAACTCCTCTGACCCTAGTTTAACTTTGCCTCATCGATTCCAAAACAGTCCTGTACCAAACACCCATGCACCAACTTTGAAACCTGTCTTGTTGAAAACAAAGACCGTCCCACTCTAGTGTAAACTCTAACCCAACCAACTCCGAAACATGGATTTGAAACACGCCTCGGTGAAACCCAAACTCCCCCGACGCTAGTTTAAACTCTTCCCTCATCACTTCAAAAACATCCCTGTACCAACTTTGAAACACGCCTCGGTGAAACCCAAACTCCCCCGACGCTAGTTTAAACTCTACACCAATCGATTCCAAAACATGCCTGTAACAACTTTGAAACCGGCCTCGGTGAAAACAAAAACCATCCCACCGTAGTATGGACTCGGCCCCTAACACTTCCAAAACATGCATGTACTAACTTTGAAACCACCCTAGTATGGACTCTACACCTACCGATTCCAAAACATGCATGTTCCGAGTTCAAAACCAACCTTCACCGACACTAGTATGAACTCGACTACCAACAATTCCTAAACATGCATGTTCCGAGTTCAAAACCAACCTTCACCGACACTAGTATGAACTCGGCTACCAACAATTCCCAAACATGCATGTACCAACTTTGCAACCTGCCTCAGTGTTAACAAAACTCCCCGACCCTAGTATGAACTCGACTGCCAACAATTCCTAAACAGGCATGTCCCAACTTTGTAACCTGCCTCGGTGAAAACTTCACCGACCCTAGTATGGACTCTACACCTACCGATTCCAAAACATGCATGTTCCGAGTTCAAAACCAACCTTCACCGACACTAGTATGAACTCGGCTACCAACAATTCCTAAACATGCATGTACCAACTTTGCAACCTGCCTCGGTGTTAACAAAACTCCCCCGACCCTAGTATGAACTCGGCTACCAACAATTCCTTAACATGCATGTCCCAACTTTGTAACCTGCCTCGGTGAAAACTACACCGACCCTAGTATGGACTCTACACCTACCGATTCCAAAACATGCATGTTCCGAGTTCAAAACCAACCTTCACCGACACTAGTATGAACTCAGCTACCAACAATTCCTAAACATGCATGTACCAACTT